CACTTGCCAAGCTAACACGCGGCGCTTCCATCATTTTGCTTCTATCCAACTTTGCCGAATTTACCTACACCACTCTCTTGTTTCAGGTATCCACGTTCCCACAGTCAACTCGCTGAATTCTTGTGCTGAACACCACTACTGCGTCGAGACCCACAACATCTGTTACCTACCGACGAGATCAGGACCTTGCCGTAAGATCTCGAGGCAGAACCACCGAAAAGCTACGCTTACTCGTTCTGCGCAAACCCGTGAAACCCGTGAAACCCGTGTAAGTGTATCGAATTCCTGCAGATCTAACGCATCGAAATAACGTTGACCTTCATTGCCCAACAGGTGACGAAGTAGTTTCAGTTTTTGCTTCTCATCGTAAGTAGTAGTTGCTGGAAGTAGGTCCAAGTAATTCGTGAAAGACGTTCTCCATTGGATCCAATCACTCTCCGTAGGTCTGGAAGCAGGATCGCACCAAAAGGCTTCTGGAGGTAGTAGGTGAAATGCCATTGTAATGGTCCACAGCCCGCGACGCCACTGTTGTATCTACACGTACACTAGTCCCCTGCACGTAGGGTCTTGAACAAACACGACCAAAGCCCCGAACGAGGAAGCAGAACTCTACTGGTACGCAACACAAACTTCTATTCACGCCAACAGTACATACACTCAGTATATTCAAAACAACCCTGATATTGATCGCTAACGGACAGGCATCCAATCACAAGCTACGAAGTGCGGTCGTGGTAAGGCCCGCGCGTACGCGCTGCCACACCATTCACCAGTCCTTGTGAGAGTTAGACAGGTTTTCGCTCAGACTCTGGTTAGATTGATCACATATTTACTTTCCTTCAGTCGTTAGATCTGATAGCCTTTTACAGACTACCGACTGTGTATTTTCCCATTTATCTGGAAGCTGGCTTCGATTCTGTTAATCCTAAAAACATGTGTATTGGCAGGTTGAATATTCCCATTCCGAAATCACTGTAATTTGACTTGAGTCTTGAGTTCTCCACAACAAGTAAGATCCACCATACTTGTCCAATATCATTTCTCTTCATCCTAAGATTAAAATGACCATATATGACCTCTTCTTATCAACCTAGTTAAGAGTCCAAGTTCTATCAAGTGTTTAATTGACAAACGTTGAGTATGTGAAATACTCGAGTCTGCACGAGTAATTGTGTGTATACACCATTGATCAAGCGGATGCGTAGCGCTGGAGGCTTTGGCACCTGCTTTGCATCCTCAAGATCCAAATTGCCGTTACCCGAACTAGGCCGACATGCCACCGGTTCTTATTATCACTGAACAGCCGTTGGAATTGACAGACTGTTCACTTAACATGGTATCCCCTCGCTGTGGACGTTGCTTCGCGTAGCAGCAAATCCAGTGTAACTTCGCAGTACGCAACGCAGCATTGCGCGTGTGCAGAGATCCGCCAACACAGCAAATTGGGACAAATATGTGGTCCCACATAACCACTGCACACAAGTGCTAAGAGAAGACAAAGCTGCAAATCAGCAGAACGTAGCGAAAACCTTCAGTGCTAACCACAAACTGTTGCACAAGCACGTCAATAGCCAAAGAAAGGTGAGGCAAGAATTTCCTCCGCTCAAGACGGCCGATGGCCCAACAAGAACGGCTGTGGAAGCAACAAACGCGCTGCGGATGTAATATGCTCCCACGTTTCAGGGAGTCTTGCCACCAAGCCATCTTCCAAAATTTGCCGTCTCCTCGCCAGGACTAACCCACATCAATTTTACCGCGGAGGCTGTATTACAAAATCTGACGTCTCCACGCAAACACAGCTCGCCGGGTGTCGACACCATTCGTCCAGAGACATTGGAAGCAGCAGCAACCCAAATAGCAACACGTTTGGCTGTTTTTCCAGAGCTGTTGAGACCAGAATCAAGTTGCCGATAGGTTGAAGCTTGGAATAATAACCACGAACCACGAAGCTGGAAGCAGAACTGAGCCATCCAACTACCGTCCAGTATCCCTTCTTCCTATACTCTCCAAGTCCATGGAATCCATTATCGTCGATGCACTGGTGTGTCATCTGGAAAACTACAACGTCATCACGCCTGAGCAGCGCGGCTTCCGTCGACAGTGGTCATGCGAAACGAATTTACTAGTCGCACGCAGTAGTTGGACCGAGTCAGCTGACGCTGGAGAACGTGTTGATGTGATCAAGCTGGATTTTTCGAAGGCTTTCGATCGTTTAGACCATCGGATATCACGTTCCAAACTCCAGCATTAAGGGATCGGTGACCCTCTTCTTAGCTGGATTACTAACTTTCTACCTCAAAGGCCATTAGTGATAAGAAGTAGGTGCTCTTTATCGGACCCACATAGCAGCCCACTGTGTGTGCCGCAAGGCTCAGTTCTCTTTGCACTTCTGTTTTTGGTGTTTATTGATGAATTTGTACATGGAATCGCTTCAAACTTCCTAAAGTTTGCCGACAATATCAAGAGTTGGTGCAGGATCAAGGTGAACGCCAAACAGCATCTGCGTCATAGTGACCTAAGTATGCTATACCAATGGTCAAGCCAAAACTTACTACATTTCGACGTCAGTAAATGCAAGGTGCTTTCCATCCGACATCAGAACAGCTACTTATGTCGGGTCGGAACGGATGCACTGCAACAATCAACTGTCGAACCTAACTTATGTGTGCTGGTTCAAGATGACTTGGGTTGTTCCAGGCAACCCGAAAATACCACGAAAACTAGAAAACAACACGTCTGACCATTACGATGGCTGTTTGGACAAATACACCACAGCATACTGCGACAAATGCTCAGTGCGTATGTTCGCCCCCATTTCGAATACGAAATTCAAGCCTGGCATCCATGATGGAAACATGAACGTCAGGCATCTAAGAACGTAATTGGAATGCGCAATCTTTCCTACGCGGAGAGGTGGCAATGATTGGACGTATTCAGCGGACGCTATCGCAGATTACGATGCGATCTGATTATGGTATACTTGCTTTTGCAAGACCCGAATCATATGTGCCGCTCTTTACTGCGACTCAGCAGCAATACAACTCTGACGTGCCACTTATTGAAACTCGCAGAAGAGTAGAGCCATTTTGAGTGCCGCAGAAATTGTTTTTCCATTCGTGTATGTCACCTTTGGAATGCTCTCCCAGAATCAATCGTATCTGCACCGACACTATGAGTATTTAAATTAAGGTTGGAGGAGGCGCTCATCCAACTTCTGTCACTTAGCGCTACGTCCCTATCCTACTCCTGTAGTGTGACATGGATTTATTTCGTTAAATGTGGGTGTTACACGGATTGCAGAAATACAGCGAAACAAACGACAATTCCTTGTTTGCATATTAAAAATATGAACTGGCTTATTATTATTATGCTGTCCTCACAACTTATGCGGCAGTACTTATGAAGCAACGCTTCTTAAGTCGTACAAATTCCCTGTTCATTGTTAAACTATCATTTATCCATAGAAACAGAGGGCTATTATTGTGCAAAATCATAGGCAATGTGTTGAAGTATGGTCAAGGAAGTTTACAGTTCGCATCGAAGATATCAAGGGATTGACCGTCTTTACTCACCGGTGCTTGCGCATTAGATGAGAATACCAGGTGGTCGATGATTAAGTCCACCAACTGGCGCTCGGACAGAAACTCTCTTGTTTGTCACTTAAGTGTTTGCGTTGGCTCAGCCGCTTACGTTAGTTATGTCGTAAAGTTCGCTTGATGCTAATCGCCTTCCCCTGTATGCATTACGTACTGTGGCTTCACCTTGTTGGGTGAAACCCACGAAGTGGCCAGTTGAGGAATTGACATAATGGCATGAATAAATTCACTGCGAGTTGGTCAGGTTGGTGTGTGCCGTCATCGTGGATGGGGGTCTGGGCACGGTCAGCGTCAATGGCTGGAGACCTTGTCGAATATAGCACGGTCGCGCAGTCAGCGGCGCTGCTACATTCGATCTTTTCACCTAGTTGTTAACATTCCATCTCGAATCGTTTTACTCTGTTCTGTCTTGCTTCACTTTTCTTTGAACTGCAGCTGAATTCTATCTTTTTTTTCTTACAGTTATTACTATGGTGATGCGAGCCGGATCAACTGGACCTACCACGTTTAAGAGACTGCATCTTAGTTGTTGGCAAGAAATCAAGAGAGATTGAGTCAAAACATAATGTGAGCGCATCATCGGTCGTCCGTGAAGGCATCGAAAGCATAGCTTATTAGACAACCAGCCGGTCTCGGTTGATCCAAATCCCTCCACCCAGTTTCGGCTTTCAACACCAGTCACCACATTTTATTGGTGACTTTACCTACTGGAAAGCGCTTAGAGTACTTCGGAGCAGAACAAATGAATACTGAAAGCTACCAAAAAGGAGATGGCGAGGGAATCGGTTTCTTACTTCTTGTATCTTTGGTAGCTCAACATTACAATAAACGATAGATGGTTTGTAACAAGGTACACCTTTACTGCTATTATTCAGATTGAAGTCACGGATTTGTTTGTCTGAGGAAACTTTGTTACTAAGCTGGATGTTGCCACTTATGGGCTTCGACTGACGGCAAACGACCGTTTCCCACGCGTCGGAGTAGATACTGGTTAACTTATCCCTTTAAAGCCATATCATGGGACCCATTCGTTCTCACAGCTCTCCACCGGCAGTCCATCTTCTCCAGAACACAAATAAGAAAACCCGATTCAACTACTTCGATCAGCTTCCTTGGGGGAATTCCATAATTCTATGCAGTGAAAAATCAACTGATCGAACTTATTCATCACAAGCTTCACGGTAGACTATGCAAGGGATGGATTCACACGAGAGTGAGCAGCGCATAAGCAGACACATGCACTAACCAATCACCTCATTCCTCACGGTTAGAGGGAGGTGTGGCTTGCTTCGTGGGCTCGTGTGCCTGACTGGCCAACAGAATTGAATTGCTCACCTGTGGTAATGAATAAAATAGATGAGTGCATCTGAATGAATCCTAAGTACTCAAATCTGCACATTCCGGATGTATCCTGGATTAACTACAATGCAATACTTTGTTGGGCAACCCACTCGTTCCAGTACGGGGGTGTCGCCTTCCCCATTGGAGATAATGGCTTTGCGGTTTGGCGAAGTAGTCAAGGGATTTCACAGAGGCAGTCTTCCTTTAGCCAATTCGTTTGCACCAATTCAAGAAAAAGAACGGGAAAATTATTTAAAGCCCAGCATTAGGCCAGAGTCACAGTGTGAACCGCCACTGTTCTTCTCAAAGTCGTCGCTAGATTATCTGAATTTACAATTCACGAGCAATGTACGAAGGAGTGGGGAAGGGAGTTTACCACAGTGCAATATGTGTGCTCTAAGTGGGTGCTGTATTCAACACGCGAACGGGGAATCCAGTGACCCATGTGGATCCATTCACCGAACCAGACAACCATGTGGGTGTACAGAAACAGTTCCGGTCGCATCGGCCAGGATGGAGGCTAAAGATTATAGCTTTCAGATGAGCACCCCGTTGCTTCCTTATCGTTACGGTACAGAAGCATGCACACATGCACCAACTGTCGATCGTTATCCGAACGATGGCAGTAATTTGGTCCTTTCCGGTCAACATTCAGATTCGTCGTCTCCTGTGTCCTATTTGTCTCCCACTTCCACACAAAGATGCCATCCAGGTACGTGGATAGAAGGCTGTGGACAGAAGTGTTCACCTCGCGTATCGCGAAGACATTCACATTTGTCTGACAACCTACCAGCTACCCAGAAAAATGCACTACATAATTCAACCATACAGAGGAAAGGTGATCAAGAGTCTTTTGATACGTCTGGGCGCTGGCTTTCGTTATCTCAACCGGAAGTACCTTCATGTACACTAAATTGGGCTCAGGAGGAATGCACTGAAGTGTTCGGGAACTATCCAACCACAGAGACAGTGCTGACCCAGTTGGATGCATCCAACAAACCTCCGTTCTCATACATTACCCTCATCGTGTCCGCTATGAGTTCGAAACCATCGAAGCAAATCACATTGAGTGAGATTTACGCATGGATCATGTCCACATTCTCGTACTATCGTAAAAACACCAGAAGGTAAGTGCTCGATATCAGTGCCACTTGGTTAAATGTAGTTTAAGTCGGGTAAATAATTACCTTGCCTCCCCCCCCCACATTTGTCTTTTGTTTCTCGACCTCTTTGTTTGCCTCTAATTGGCTATGACTAGCTGTAATCCAAAACTGATTAACATCCACAGCCTGATATCTGCCATTCAATAGTCTAATTGCATTTTAGTCTTTGGCAGATGACTGGTTTGAAGTACAGACTAATTTTGAAGATCCCTTGGTCACATTTTAGAATTTATCGAGGTTTAGAAGGACAGAATTGTCAGCATTTGAGCGGTGGAAGAAGCGGTCTGGAATCAAGTGTTTTACGTGAAATGCAGCTGAAACTAGGTCGTGTTACGTCATTGCCACTAACCAGATGGTCACACTGGTCATTGTTCCAACCTGTTACCAGCTAGGTTATGGGCAACCTTGGAGGCAAGAGGGAAAAGAGCTCGGTTGTCCTAGGGTTAGATTAGAATAGACACTACGGATGAGTTGCATTGTAGTAGAACATTCATCCAGAACCCTTTGAAATGTATGCTTACTGCCCGACTGCTTCCAGCCAACGACAGCCCGACTGAAGTCCTACAAATTCTTGAGTTGATTTTTCTACTTCAGTAATTGTTTGGGTGCATGAGAGAGCTCGTAGCCTAGTGAGTAGATGGGTAATTCATGGGGAGAATCCTTGCCATACACAAAGTATCATCTTGTAGAGCAACTTCTAATCAGCCCGTGCAGCCCGTCTCCGGTATTCGTAATTTCAGTTGGCGCTCATATTGTGCTTTCCGGAAGATCATGTATCAAGACTATAGTTGGTTTGCGTAAAACAGGTCCTACATATAAGTCAGGTTGAGATGAACCGTTTGTTCAAGACTTTTCCCAATATGTCATAATGGTTTGCTTGATTTCACTTGTTTCTAGTCACTCCCAATGTCTTAACATTCGCCCACTACATCTCCAGTATGGATTCAGTTATTTGGGCCGTTGCAGGTAACTCGCGAAGTAGCATCGGTCACCAAGGTATTTACCCCAATGGACAATGTTTCTGTACTAGTGAGTAGCGATTTGTTGCAAACAATTGAAAGTTTCCTCGCAGCAGTTTTCGAATCCGATAATATTCCATCTCGAAGAAGCACTAAACGGCCGTTTCGTTCTTTTATACGTCCTCACTACCGCGCACTCACCTGCCCTATCAGGATCCGAACCCATGATCGCTACCGGTTTGCACGGCTAGACAGCAGCTTATGTCACTGAGTCAGGGTGCACAGCGGCTGAATATCATGCCAATTGATTACACAATTTCACCTAGCTGTTCGGTAAACCACAAGAGAATTGTACTTTCAGGTTGACCTTCCACCCAAAGTACCTATAAGGGGGTATACTTAAGCAGGGGCAATACACCACAGATGTCCCTCACAGTTTCTCCTGGTTGATGCAAATGAAACGACTGCACGTTCAAACTTAAAGTCTTGTGTATGTACATACGCCTTCCGAACCATGACCACGCTATCGCCTTAAGCTAACAATTCCATTTCCCAATGTGCTAGCACCACCAGAGTAGCTGGAACACCGAGACGATTATTCGCCTGATGCAATGCTTTTTTATGCGGACGAATACCCCCTGTGCGAGTTGATAGTCCAGATCCTAAGCAGAATGAAAAGCGAAATTTATGAAAGGCATATTGTTGAGCCGAAGCTTGGCATATGCTCTTATCTCATTTCGTCTCATCAGTATCGTTATCGCAATCGCATGAAAAGGTTTTCGTTGAAAACAAAAGCAACCTAATGCTTACCGTGGATCACCATGGCCTTAAAGATCTTAAGGATCACAGGGCTGCCTTTTAATCTGATGGAGCGGGTGCAAGCCTGAGTAAGAACCGAGCGACTGTCGCAGCATCGTTAGCATAAGCGCAACTGGTGGTGGTTGCGCGGCAGCGAAGCGTCAATACTGCATACCGACTTACTACTACTGCCTATGCCTACTGCATTCAAAGCACTGGTTTACTCCGGCTTATGACGAAAGTCAGGTCAGGTTCTAAGGACAAAATATGTTCTCCTCTAACGAGCGTCCTGTTTCTTGTACTGGCAAATGAAACAGGACCTCCTGTATTTCGGCTTTTAAGTTGCTTCCCTTGACTCTGGAAAAGAAGCGAAGCAATAAAAAGAATAACTGTACTTTTTTGGAACATGGACTACGAATTTTGATACTTGTCAATAAACTTACAATATTGTTGACAGGTGTGTTGGTTAATTCGCGGTCGCCGTCATTGGACCCCGCCGGGCCAAAAATAAGTAAAAGGGGTGAAACTGTATGTTGCAACCACCACCTACCGTATACAGACGGTAAGGTCTGTTTACAAGCTTCTCAAAACATTCCTGTTTTCGGAATTGTACTTTCGTTCAAGTTTATACACAGCCAAGCCTAATTAGAATACCACGTGATCAACACCAATGGATGCACACGCAGCCGTTATAACAACACTTGTTCTCTGTCTATGTCCACGCCTGAGGTCAAAGCCAGTGAGTATCATGGGCGATTGAGGAAGTGATTTTCTCACATCCAATCACAAAGCCGACTTACTTATGTCTCATCAAGACTCACCGCATGCAACGGGATGACCGTAGAACCAACGAGTACCCATCAATCCCTGTGCTCAGAGCTCGATGCAGCCGTCGTGGGAACCACACCGCAATCTGAATTTGACTCACAGCCCCCATAGAATCAAATACAAGAGGTCTTTCTCTTTTATTCATCATTACTATCTGTCCAATATTAGCATTTATATTAAAATCTAACCTTCGGACTGTGCAACTATTCTCAATTAAAGCGGCACTAGTACAGACCAGATAGTGTATGTTGATATACTACACCAATGTTCCTAACGCAAAATCAACTTATTAGAAAGGAAAACATGTGGACTATGTGAGCCAGTGGAACTTTATGTCAACTTCACCGTGTTGTACCTAAGCCATCTAACCTGATATACGTCTGTTGTGTACACACGGCAAGAGCCTGTAACAGTCCTTGTGGGCGAGTAACAACAAGCGAAAATCGACCCAGAAAACAAGAAGAACAGTCCGTTCTCGCACAATTACATTAATTACAACGAAAACGCGCAGACGGAACTGTTTGTACAGACCATTTAAGCCGAGGTTACCGTGTAAGTTTCGTCCAACTTTTTCGCTATCAGAAACAGCCGTCTGAATTTTCTATTCGATATCAACCAGGCAATTCAGCCCTGAGTCTGGAAAAACCCGATTTCACAACATCTCCGTCTGTGAGTTACCTGGTACGCATGTGCTGATTGGTTCAGTTGGGACGCGGTCGGATTGCTGAGCCGTGATGATCCACACGTTACTGAGTTCAGCTGCGGTTTTTCGTTTCGGAGAATTTGTATCCAAGCTGACAGCGGTTCCAAAAAAATACTCAGTTGTTAGAAGCCTTGGCTATCGGGTCACGTGCATCTCTTTGGTGAATGATTTTGAGGACCTGTCCAAACATCTTCACCGCATTGAAGTCAAAGATTACCTTTCCTCTTTTTCTTCTGTCGGCCGGTGGCCGAGTAGTATGCGCGTCTGGTTTGCAACCGTAAGGTCACCGGTTCGAATCCGCGTAGGGGCGGGCGTCCTCGCGGTATACTCAGCCCGCACGCCACTGGTGTTGGTCGCGCGGCAGCGAAGGGCCGTTACGGCGTACAGCTGGCGACTGACTTTACTTTACTTTACCGTTAACTCAATCTATCCATTTAGAGTGTCCAGGCCGACAATCGCGGGTGCAAACGATGACCCTTTTTACCAAATCAGGGTACGGGCAGGTTCTGTCGGGGCTAATGTTATTGTTGGGGATATGATGCCATCAAACCTTGTTCTAAACTTACACCTCATGTGCGAATCGCCTGAGGTCTGGTTTCTAGGAATGATGCATGATGCACAGAAATTCTGAGTGAAATACCGGTCGCGCGTCACATTTTAGGTGCAATGTCACACAAGCGTTGGAGCAACAACCAATGCCGTCTTGAAACATTTTTTGGGAATTAGTTGAGCATCTCATTGCAAACAAATGTCTAGCCGACGATGCAATTGCCACTGAGGACTGAATGCTGTTACACATCTCGGTAATGGGCATAACTGCAAAAGCGAGATGCATAATCCAGTCCAACCCCAGGAGGTTCACATTGGATTCTGACACAACAACCAACGTTGATAGGTGACGATACAATTGAAACAGAACATTGTATGTGACCGGTCTACTTACCCAACTACCGCAACATGAAAATTGCCTTGAAATGGGAGCGTCCCAGTGAACTTTCAGAGAGGGGAAAAGTTATAGCGAGGTCGGAAGCTCTGACCAGCTGAACCCGAACTGGATGCCCATTAATAGTGAAACACCAACTGCGCCTGATATGCAATACCAACGTTGAAGGTTGTCAAAAATTCCAATAAATTTCCAAAAGCTATAGCACGGACCGTTTCTTGGCAGTGCAAGATGTACGCGACTTTTTACCTCGATAGAACACATATTCGCAACTAGTTTCAGGGCACCTGAAACATGTATGATGTTTGATCGGACAATTTCTTGCAAAATGCCAGACACCAAATGCTAGCACGGTGACGGTGGTTTTCGGTGGGGTCTATCATTTGTTAAACTTCGGGGCTTGGTTGCTTGGAGTCAACTGTGATAACAGTAGTGAGAGGCTGCTCAGGCTACTAACTGACCGCGGGATCATGTTTCACCCTCATGAACCACAAATACACAGTGACGCACTGATGCAGTGTGAAGTTAATTATGCTGCAATGCGAATTTCACTGTCTTTAGGTGACGTCAAATCACGAGTGAATACAAGGCACTTCAACTGGTCTACCTTGAGGGATGACAATTTGAAACATTCTCCTTCTCTAATTACAATGCCATCAAAGGTAATGATGTCGTCACTGTCATTACGATTCCGCTTCATATGAACGAAGTGCAAATGAAAAAATGTGGTACCAGCT